GATCCTAACTCACAGTAAGAGATAAAGAAATGCTAAGCTAAGGGACCAAGGAGCTTATGAGAAAATAGGCCTTGCTTAACAGCCCACCTCCACTTAATACTATTAGACTACACCCTCTTTGTCTAATCACATTTATACACAGTTGTCTATTCTTCATTGAACCAAGCATAGAATATAGTTTCTTTGAGTATTTGGGTCTTCATTTATATATAGTCTCCTGGGTCAACTAAAACTTTGATTAAATAAACTTCTTATGCTTTTCTCTTGTAACTCTGTCTTTCGTTATAGGAGTGTTTGCTATGGTTGTTAAAATGTAAAGAGGAAAGGTCATATGCATTTTTATCCTTACATTACCTCCTTGAATTCTTAAATATCTTAGCTACTACTAATCAGAAAAGAACAATTTGTTGCTCAGTTGGAGAAATCTTAAAGACTTAGGGGTAGGTAGAGATTTAATGAACAAAAATCAAACTGTGTGGTAAATGCTTCAAAGAATCAACAACTGGGTTTTCAACTTTTTGAAACGTTTCTGTACTTCAAAGCAAATCTCCAACAGAGTAAAAAGAAAGAAAACAAACTGGGAAAAAATTACAGCTCACTGTGCCTCTGACAAAAGCCTTCTGTATAAAACATATTAATTTTTTTAAAAAAAATCAGGGCCCCCAAATTCAAAGACTCAATGCAAAAATCAGCATCTGAGGTGAATATACACATCTAGGAGAAAGAAATACTAATGCCAAGTAAATATAAAAAAAAGTATTCAACATCATTGGTCGTTCAAAAAAGGCAAATTAAAACAACACTAAGAATTTCATAACACCACACACACAAAAAAAATGGCCAACATCAAGAAGTCAGCCAATAACAAATGCTGGAGAGTGTATGGAGAAAAAGGAACACTTCTGCAGTGTTGGTGGGAGTGGAGCCTGATACGACCTCTGTGGAAATCAGTGTGAAGATTCCTTAAAAATCTAGGATTGGAGATCTCATTCAACTCAGCTATTCACCTCCTGGCTATTTTCCCAGAATTACTGAAAACCTCATACCACAGTGATATATGTGCACCTGTGTTTATAGCAGCACAATTTGTCATAGCTAAACCCTGCAAACAACCCAGATGTCCATCAACTGAAGAATGGATAAAGGAGATGTGGGACTTTTTACACAATGGAGTATTATTCAGCTATAAAACAGGATAAATTTGTCTTTTTCAGCAAATGGGTACAACTCGAGACCATACTCCTAAGTGAAATAAATCAGACCTACATGTGCAAACATCATATTGTCTCCTTAGTGTGAGAACCTGAAAGAAAAATGGAATCTAAAGGGCACAGCAGATGGGAAAAGGGAATGAACTTATTCAAAAGGGAAGATTTACTGAGTTTAGGAGAACAGGAGAGGGGGTGGGGCAAAGAGATTTATCTATGCATGTAAACAAGATGGTTTTGACAACTGTTTTTGCTTTTTTGCTGGGTTTTGGAAAGAAGCAGTTAATGCTTAATTTATTTTATCTCCTTTTTAAGTTTTTTGTACTTTTTCTTGTCTTAATTTCTTATAAATTTCTTTTTTCTTCTTCTAATCTTATATGCATATATCGGGTAATATGACTAACCAGTTGGAAGACAATACTATGTATTACAACAAATACTTTGATTTTTATATTACTTTGTTAAGTGAAAATCTGTATCACTTGTATTTTTTTCTGTTTTAATTCTAATTTGTACTCTCTAAAAAGACCAGATACTTTTAATTTAGTTGAATCTTTCCTTCTATCCTAGAATATCTTAGTGCATTGGGACCTGAAGCTTATAGGTCTCCCTGGCTCAGAGGCCCTCTATTTTAACTTGCTTTTAATCCACAGAGAAATTGAGGGTTATATATTTTCACGTTGTCTCCAAGCTCTATGTTTGTTCTTTACTACTGTGAGCATGATCCCTTGTCTTTCCTTTTTGTCCATATGTCCATCCTTCCTGACATTCAGGTTGCTTCTCCTGTGGTTTGGTCACTCTCCTGCATGCTGTATTTCTGCACTCTGTGTTCCTAACCCTGCATTTGCAAAAAACAGTACCAGGACCAGGAACTCCAAGGTATCAATTGGTGGTGAGCAGTGTGGAATGATTAGATGGTGTAAACATAGTGGCAAATACAGCTGAAAAGAAATGGAGGTGATGGAGGGAGAGAAAGAAAGAGATGTGTAAGGATGGGCTCCAGAAAATAGGAAAGCCAAGATTAGAGTTTTGAATGTAGTTTTATGACTTGTACTCATGCAAAATTATAGTATAAAACAACTAGGAGCTTAATTCTGAGTTCTGCTATCACAATATTTCTAGTTGTTTTGCATGGGGGGGGGGAGTCAAAATTTCTAACTCTAACAATGTAAGACACATTAAAGGTAATAGACAGCCTTCGTTTATTTAGGGCTGGCCAGGGAAGTTCAGAGATTTTTAGTTTGTCTCATATGTGCAAGCATAGGTTTGGATTTGTGAGTATTCTGTGAGAGAGTGTTGGTTCCTTCAGATGGCTGGTAAGTGCCAAGATGCCAATACCATGGTGTAATGTACCAATAGAATAGAGTAGAACAGTTGCATTCTGAAATAGGTCTTAGAATATTATTCTGTGACTTATGGTCAGCAATGTATACTTATTAAGTTAAGGGCACAGAGGGTAAACCTTGCCATCGGCATATGCAGCAAAAATACAAAAAGGATAGACAATGACTTACTTGATTTCCTGATAAAGACACCACTAAAAGACTTGTCTTATGTTCAGCTTACCATTAAGGGACATGGAACATGTACAATTGTTGGATGTGTTGTGGAATTATTCCCAGACTTAGGAGAGGGGAGAAAAGTCCTCAGTAACCAAATAGATCAGTAAACAAAGGAGAGTCATACATTTTCTAGAGACAAAAATCAGAATTTTTTGGTCAAAGGTAGTGTGATCAAAGATAAAAATACTATTAATAGATTAAAGGACTTTGAAAAGAAAAAAAATAGATTAAAGGAAATGTAGTTTGGCACACATGGGGCCATTCAATGAGGAATGGAAACTTAGAGGTAAAGAACACTTTATTATATTTAAAACTTTCAAAGTGAGTAGGCAAGGAACTGATTTTCCACCTTTACCTGTTCTTGCTAAGGGTTTCCATAATAGTAATGAGAATGAAGTGGACTGTTAGTGTGGAGGGAGAAGAAAGGAAGAAAGGAGCCTGCAGGCTGAGCTCATGTTTTAGTTGAGCTTACATTTTCTAAGCGCCTTGTGATTCTACACACTACTAACTTCACTTTGCCCCAGGGTGGGATTTCACATTGAATTTTTCCTTATAATTTGAACTTTTAATTGAGTAGATGTCTGTTTAATGTTGTTTTATGTACTCATTGTCTTAGATAGCTTCACAGATTGAGTTATGTGACTGTCCCTGGGACAATATTTCAATAGTATTATTGTTCCTAGATTCTAAAATTGTGATTGAAAATTTGGCAGTAATTTATTAGGAAAGAGAAAAGATGAGGGATAACTGATCATTTCCTACAAACTGAAAGTGAGAGAATCATTTTGAGTCATGTTGCAGAAGGTTCAGACGTGGGTGTCTGGAGATGATTGTGACGGTCATGAAACTTTTAATTTCAGTTTACGAGATTCACCCAACCATGACCATAGCGACCGCATTCAACTCAAGCAGCTTCAATCCAGGCTCCTTCATCCTACTGGGAATCCCAGGGCTGGAGCAGCTGCACATCTGGATCGGGATTCCCTTCCTTATTATCTACCTTGTGGCCCTGGCAGGCAACAGTGTTCTTCTCTATCTTATTTTCATGCACCGCAACCTCCATGAGCCCATGTTCTTTTTCCTGTCCATGCTGGCTGCTACAGATCTCATCCTGTCTAATACATGTGTACCCAAAACATTCAGCATCTTCTGGCTGGGTCCTCAGGAGATCACCTTTCCTGGATGTCTTACTCAGATGTTTTTTCTCCACTCCAGCTTTGCCATGGATTCTGCTATATTGCTGGCCATGGCATTTGATCGCTATGTTGCTATTTGCTTCCCCCTACGATACACTTCTCTTTTCACTTATCAGGTTATCATGAAGATTATGGTGGGTATCATCAGCAGGAGCTTTTGTATCATCTTCCCATGTGTGTTCCTATTAAAGCGACTGCCATTCTGCAGAACACTTACCATTCCCCACACATACTGTGAGCACATTGGTATTGCCAGGCTGGCCTGTGCAGATATTTCCATCAATATCTGGTATGGCTTTGCTGTGCCTGTGCTGACTGTCACTTCAGATCTGATCCTCATTGGAATCTCCTACATTCTCATCCTTCGTGCTGTCTTCAATCTTTCATCCCAGGATGCCCGGCAGAAAGCCCTCAGCACATGTGGTTGCCATGTTTGTGTCATTCTTATATTCTACACACCTGCCATATTTTCTGTCCTCGCACACCGTTTTGGTCATAATATCCCCCACTCTTTCCACATACTTTTTGCTAATCTTTATGTGTCCATCCCTCCAGCAACCAATCCAATCATCTATGGGGTGAAGACTAAGCAGATTCGGGATAAAATCAAACTACTCTTTTTCCCTAAAGGAATATCGAGAGCCTGAGGACTTTGGAAAGAAAAAAATAGGCAAAGGTATTAGTTTTGGAGCACTGCTCACGTTTTAAAAGTGAGTTATAAGAAAATGGAGATGACTTGAGTCCAGACTTCCTAGTGAAATGAACCAGTCTCCCTCATGCAAGCATTGTATTGTGTACCTAATGTAAGAAGCTGAAAGAGTAAATAAGACCCAAATGCACAACAGATATTGTGAAATGGGAAGGAAATGCTCAAAAGAAAAGGAAATGCTCAACTGAAATGGGACAAAGCAGAAAAGAAGGATTATATATGATTAACTATCATATATCATATATATATGATAGTTAATGTAGATATATTACTAATTGCTGTGAGATCATTGAAAAGGTAAGTATATGCCTCTATTGCTTGGTGGCTTCCCATGCCTATATCTTGTATTATGAGCAACTACTTTGAAGATAACAATGCACAGTGTACTAAATATTGTTATTCTCCCACAATCTTGTTTTGGAATTTTCAAAATTGTTTTGAAATTCTTGTTTTTATTATTCATTTTTCTTTTCTTTAAAAAAGTGAGAATTTCCACAATTTTAGCATGAATTTGCATAAAATTCTAGAAATCTACTCCTTTTTAAAAATAATTTTGTTGAGAAACAAATAGCAAAGAAATAGTTTCAAACCCAATTACTAGAGCATTTTAAATAATTAATACATTGCATATTGTTGTCTTAGTGGTTATTCATTATGCAAGATGCAGACATGATATCCTGTCCACAAATAGTATTAGAACAAATCTCTCTATTCATTGAATTAAGAGAATGCAGCTGTATATATCTATCCTATTTTGAGTATAAAGATACAAAATGGTCATTCATTTGTATCCCCTTTTTTTGGTTAGTTTGTCAGAGAAGGGCACTCCATTGTCATTTAAATATTGTAGGTGTGTGAATTCAGCAAAATATTCCAATATAGTACAGTAGTCCATAATAGTAGTGGGTTTTTCGTAAAACTGGCAACGTCCAAAGTTGTTGACTTGAGGCTTTGATGGAACCGGGGATTGAATGCAGGCCCTTGCACTTGCCAGGCAAGCACTTATTCTACTGAGCTATCTCCCTGGCCCTCTACTATGGCTTATTGAAAGCAGTGAGGGGGCTGGCCAAATAGTTCAATGGACTGAAGTGCTGTTTAGGCAGATACAGGGACCTGGATTTGATTCCCAGCATGCTGTGCAGGCCCTGCCCCCTGGGGTGCCCTGAGACATCGATTGAGACTGGGTGTGGTAGCATGTATCTGTAATCCCAGTGCTTGGGAAGCTGAAAACAGGGAGTTGTGGTGGCATGCACCCGTAATCCCAGCACTTGGGAAGTTGAAAACAGGAGGATCACTGTGAGTCTGATCTGTTCAGTGAGACCCTGTAAACCCTGTACTAAATACATAAAAAAGAGAGAAAACACTGAGAAAATGAGCAAGTAGATTTCAAAAGCAATAAAAAGTGGAAGAAGACATGTTTGCATGAAAAGATAGATCAGAGGGAGATTTATATGTCACTTTCAGATAAGGTTTGTAAGAGATATGATAGAATCTGGATTCTATCATATAATTAGATTATTCTTATACATGAGATAAAAATGGTGAGTAAAATCTCACAATTCGGGAAAAACTTCTATGGAACTTTCCCCATAAAAGCTTGGTAGGAATAACAGTGAATGTTTATACTTTTTAAAGAATGCTTTGCAGGAAACTAATTTTCTAAGATAGTGATTCTCAGGCTTCCAGTGAATATCAGAATCACTTGGAGAATTTAAAGTCCAGCTCTAGGCTCTGTCATGCGTCTGTGGACCTCCTTTAATGATCTTCTAAGTGACTGAGATGCCTAAGAAACGTTAGCGGCTCTCAGATCAGAAAACACATAGACTTGGTTCTTTTAGTAATTTTTCCAGATCTAAAATTGATTTATGTTTCCTTTATTGCCTTCCTGACCAACATTATTCACTCACAGTAAAACTTTCACTTTTAAATCTGATATCATCAAACTATATTATTGGTATTTATCTCTTGAGCCAGGTCACTCTTTCCTTTTTCAAAGAGTTTGGGCTTTTGGCGTACTGGTATTTTCTCCCAAAACAGAAGAAAATAAAGCAAAAAACTAAACTTTTGTTATAATTCTTAGTGATTTGCATGTGTACATTGAGGGCTCCTTTCTTTCTTTCTTTCTTTCTTTCTTTCTTTCTTTCTTTCTTTCTTTCTTTCTTTCTTTCTTTCTT